GGGTGCGACCTGATTCACTTAATCTCTACAATTCTAATTTCAGGTTAGTGAGAGTTAATAAATATGTATTGATCATGTGTCCTAGGAACTGTGGGGATCGAGCAGAGAATGAGACCAACACAGACCCCAGAGAGGGGGTCAGGGCAGATGTCTTTAAGGAAGCACTCAGAGCTTAAGGGAGATGAGGGATAAGAGTAAGCCAGGCAGAGCTGCTGACCTATGAAGACCCTGAAGGAAGAGAACAGGGAATGTGACAGGAGAAGACTAATGCCCAACAGGGAGGGGAGGAGACTGGGCTGGATGCTGCAGGGCTGCAGACTATCTGGGGCTTTATTCTGAGGACAAGAGGAGACCATCAGAGGATTCTGAGCACGGAGGCAGCACAAGTGGGGGAAGAGCCTCAGGTATGTATGCAACAAACCACTGTGAACAAAAAGGCCCTGACTGTCCAGCTCTTTTTCAAAACCAATCTCAAATCTGAGTTTGAGGTGATGTTTTTAAACTTAACAGAAAGAAGTCACCTTCTCCAAACCACATGAAGTAAATCCAGTCTTCTAGAAGTTGTTTTTCACATGGAATGCTACTACATCTCTTGGAGGTTGGTAGGAGGAAGAGGGGAATAATGGGGAAGGGGGATGAACTGGGGTATTTCCCATATACCCAAAGCATAAAGAAATAACTAATACCTTCATGCTCACCAGCAAGATTTAGCCAAGGTTAACATCTTACAAGATTTTAGGTTTCCTTTTTTTGTTGAGAAATAAAATATTACAGACATAAACTGATCACTCTGTGTATATCTTCTCCTCCTTCCCCAGAGGTAGCCATTATTCCAAAATTCTTGTGAACCCTTACTTTACATTTTATTTTTAGTTGTATTATAAATGTATCTATATATAATACGTAGTCTTGTATTATGTTTTTAAATGTTAAGTAAATGGTTTTATACTGTATGTATAATTCTGCAACTTGCTTTTTTTCACCCAACATGTTTTTGACATACATTCATATTGATACATGTAGTTCTAGTTCATTCACTTTATTTTATTTATTTATTTATTTTACACAGAGACAGTGCGTGCGAGTCTGGTAAAGGGACAGAGGGAGAGTGAGAGAGAATCCCAAGCAGGCTCCACCCTCAGTGCAGAGCCCGATGCAGGGCTAGATCATGACCTGAGCCAAAATCAAGAGTCAGTCAATGAGCTAAGCCACCCAAGTGCCCCTCTAGTTCATTCACTTTAACTGCTGCATGAATATTGTATGATTATAGTACAATATATTTATCAATTCTTCTGTTGATAGATATTTGGGCATTCTTTTTTTTTTTTTTCTGATCACAAACAATATTGCAGTGGATATCCTTGGCCTTATCTTTCTCCTGATGCACATGTGTGAGAGTGTCCCTGAGGGACAATATCTTTGTAAAAAGTTTTAACACATTAGAGGAAAGTACTGCACGAAATTGAAGTAATATCCTAACTGCTATGGTGACAAGAATGTCAACGATATGTTTAGGTTACAGGGAACAGTCCAAAGCCACCATTTTTAGGAAACCTATTCAAAAATGTATGAAATCACTTATATTGAGATGAATGAGCATGTAGAGGTCAACAAGAATTTGGTCAAGTTTTAAATTCAGTGACTGAAGCTCTACAGAGTCTGATCTAAGCTGAAAACCTGGCTGAAAAGAGCTGAGTGTTTCTAATTTAAGACATATGCCAACTAGATCTAAATAGCAAGGAAAAACAGGAATAGATGTACTGAGAGAAAAAAATCTTGACACGTTCAGGTTAGCTGCTCACTGAACAAGTCTCCCATAAATCCTGAAGCTCATCCAACATGAAGAGTTATACAGAATTAGCTGCAGATAGATGAGATTTTCAAAGCCTGATTTCTTTTTTCTTAATTTTTTCTTTTCAAAAACTAACAGTTTAGGGCCAGGATAGAGTCAGGATTTCCATTCACATCTTCCTGCTTGCTGCATTTTTTCATCATCACTCATCGACAATACTCAAACAGCCACCTTGTCAGAACTTGCCCTTTGGCTAAGTGAACTGAGAATGAAAATTCCTTTTAAACTGAACAGTAGTCTCATGTGGGCAAGTGACAAGGCTTCAGTGGGAAGAAATTAGGTACAGGATCCATCCCCTCGAAGCTGGCTGAGCAATGCTTTTGAACAGCCCTAAGACACCCCACAAATTGAGCCTTCAATACTGCCATCAGACACACTACTCATCATGTACTTGGAACCAGAAGAGCATAGACATTTTTTGTTTATAATGAATTTGAAGGTCATCTAATTTAAACCCCTTGTTTTGCAGAAATAGGAGTCCAGCGATACTAAATGTCTTGTCCAAGCTCACACAGTAAACTGTTGGCATACAAAGACTCCAAATTCTCCATTTTAGGTTCTCTGTCCTGTATTATGTGACTTGCACATAATGCTAACACATCAGAACAGTTAAAAACATTCATTCTTTTGGGGTGCCTGGGTGGCTCAGTCAGTTAAGCGTCCTACTCTTGGGTTTTGGCTCAGGTCATGATCTCACGGTTCATGGGTTCAAGCCCGGCATTGGACTCTGTGCTGACAGTGCAGACCCTACTTGCAGAGTCTCTGTCCCCTCTCTCTCTCTGTCCCTCCCTGGCTTGCTCTCTCTCTCCTCTCTCAAAAATAAACATTTAAAAATATATAAAACATGCTTTTAAAAAACATTCATTCTTTACTAAATGTTCATTCATTACATATTGCCAAAACTTTCCAGCAGCAGTATTTTAGGTTTTCATTAGAAAACTCCTGTGAAAGATTATATTAACATTTCCAATCATTTGCTCTACCTTTCTGCAAGAGGATTAAACCACCTTATTGGTATCAGTCTTGACTGTGTGAATTACTCTGACCAATGACATGTGACAAGAAGTGAAGCATGCTATTTCTAAGCAGAAGCTTTAAAAGCTATCTCATGTTTCCTTTATCTTTCTTTTTCTCTCTGCTGTAAGATAAGCATGTCCCAGATTGGGACTACTCTTACAACCTGGATCCCAGGATGAAGAAGAGACACAAAGAAGAGCTGAACCTGACTCACAATTAACACATTGTGAGTTAGAAACAAGACTTTGCTGTTGTAAGCCAGGAAGATTTCAGAGTTCTTTGTTATTGCAGCACACCTAGTAAAAACTGACTGATACAGTTACCAACAAAAAGCAAAAACAACAAAAATGTTTGCTCAGTCATCACAAACAACTCATAAAGTTGTGAATAGAGAAACTAACCTCATACACCATTTCCAAAGATGAGAACAAGCCATAATTCATGTTTTCTTCTTTTATGTATTCACTTCCACATTGCACAGAACTTCCTTTCCAAGGGCAGTGCTGAAAGTTGGTTATGGGATCACTACTGGTGCTTTTTACTTATCTTTCTCAAGAATGCATATCTAATGTCAAAGGAATCAAAACCTTTGCATGAAATTCAGATGTTCTATCTCAGCATCATTTGCTCTTAAAAAGGAGGCTAAAGAGTACAAGCCATAGAGAGGCCCAACACTCCCAGAGTCAAGGCCTTGGGGGCTGGAGGCTCAAGCTACTTCTCTTTATGCCTATCCATGATGGTAGTCATCCAACAACCACTGTCTTAGAAGCCAGCCTATTACCACCTGTATGAATCCAGCAATTAAGCCCATCCTGCTGGGGTGAGAAAGGTGGTATGACCCTCAATAGAACAAGCCACTTGTATCCCTCCCTTTTAAGACAGCAAACAGAACAATCCCTCATTCCACTAAGATCTGTTGAATGCTAATTATGTGCAAGGCACTGCTAAGCCCAAGGATATAAAGAACAAAACAGACACAGTCCATGACTTCAATTAATTTACATTTTAGTGGTAAATGGACAAAAACCAAGCAAAACTATAAGCAAAGATTTTGAAAAAAAAAATTATATATTTATATATATATATGTATACACACATATATGTGCATATGTATATGTATAAATATATTTATATATGTGTATATTTATATATGTATACACACACATATGTATATGTATATACACATATACATATAAACAAGGCGTTATAGTAAGGGATTACAGTACAAATTGTTTTTAGATAATACAAAGCCCTCTCAGAACATGACATTTTAGCTAAGATCTGAAGGATAAGATGAATTCAGCCATGCAGAGAAAGAGCTGTGGAAAGTGTGCTCCAAGCAGGGAGGGGGATGGGGAATTGCAGAGACTCTGGGGCATGAATGAGCATGATACAATCAAAGAACACACAGGTTTTCAGAAAAATGGACTTGTGATTTGAGTCCTAGGACCAAACTCAACATCAGAATAATCCAGACGGAGTGAAAGTAATGGAATGGACTGTGGGGAAACAATGCTATTTACTGAAGTTACGAAGAACGTTGTACAGAGACACAGATTTGGTGGGGCGGTAGGGAGGGAAGAGGAAATCAGGAGCTCACTTTTAGCTAGGTTAGGTTGGTGGAACCTGTAAATATCCAGGTAGTGCCAAACGGGCAGTTAGATACACAAGACTGGAGCTCACAGAACTGAGCTGTGAGTATGGATTAGGGACTTATCAAGACATGGGTAGCATGAAAAAAACAAGCTTCACGTACTAATTAGAAATTATTCTTATAGAGCCACAAATTTATTTTTCTCAAATAAACTTATAATAAGAAAGCCAAGACAAAGGGTTTTAATGGTTCCTGACTAGAAATTGGGTTTATGAATTTATGTAGAAATGGAGTTACAGAATAAAATTAGTGAGGTCATTAACAGTGCTGGTTGGCTTGTAACACCTTAGGGTGCATAAATCCAATCTCCTACTCAGACATACTCTAATATATACAATTTCTTATAATAGATACATAGTGAATAAATGCAATTCCCCACAACAAATATGTAAAACAAGTTTCACAGTAACCATAGCCTCAGGGTTAAAGATTTTATTCCATGGACTGGATAAAATCACCTTGAGAGCAAATATAGACATGGAAGGGGAGAAGGTCTGGAGCTGGGCCCTGAGGATCAAGTTGAGGAGGGCAGGTGAGTGAAGTAGGAGGCATATTAGGGCTCTGTCACATCAGAGAAGTTGTTACAGGTATTTGTTAATTTTGCTGCCTGGTATTCACTCCCTTTCTTGTAAGAGGACCCCAAATATGCTTTAGGAGAGCCACGCCTACTTCAACTCTAAATACATGGGATTTGAATGAAGCCAATTCTCTCCTCAGGGTCCTAGGGTTGGAGCATTTAACCAAGGCCTACACCAATCAATGCATTCCATTCCCCTGGCCACAGTGGTTGGTTCAGAGATAGACACAGAACTTAGAACAAGACAATAGGACCAATCAGTGCTAATCCTAGGAATCCCTGGCTGAGGCATAATTTTTCCTGCTGGATCTGCATATCATTAAATGAAAGAGTAGAGTCTCTGACAGCCATCTTGTCACTATGACAAAAGAGTACATATGAAAATGGAGCCAATTTGGAGAAAATGGAGCCAGGAAATATAGAGAAAGCAGTCTTGGTAGCACATCTGTAACTAAAGCCACACTTACCAGGACGGTGATTATATGAGCAATAAATTATTGTTTTACTTGGTCCCCCCTATGGTACGGGCTTCCCTCACCAGCAATGAAATCCTAACTAATGGCGAAAGCAAGAGAAGACCGTTTCAATGAATGTGGCCTATGCTGATTAGAGGTTTAAATGGAGTCAGAAGGTTTCCATAGGATGTAGCAACATGGAGGCCATTGAGAGCCTTGACAAGATCAGTTGCAGTACAGTGGTGGGTTGGAAACCAGATTCGAAAGGTCCTGTAGAATATCCTCCATGAACATATATTATCAGTCATGACTCCTATTTGATAAAACGGAACAGAAAGAGCACTGGACCGAGAATCAGAAGATCTGGAACCTAGACACAGCTCGGCCACTAACCATCTATATGACCTTGGACAAACTGCTCACTTGACAGTTTCCTCATCTATCAAGTGACTACAGCTGCCTGGCACCCATGGGCCCCTCTGGCTCTAAAAATCTCAGCACTTTCTTTTTTTTTTTTTTTTTTTTTTTTTTTTTTCAATGTTTATTTATTTTTGGGACAGAGAGAGACAGAGCATGAACGGGGGAGGGGCAGAGAGCGAGGGAGACACAGAATTGGAAACAGGCTCCAGGCTCCGAGCCATCAGCCCAGAGCCTGACGCGGGGCTCGAACTCACAGACCGTGAGATCGTGACCTGGCTGAAGTCGGACGCTTAACCGACTGCGCCACCCAGGCGCCCCAGCACTTTCTTATTTTCAGCAAACTTTATTCTGTTCTGGAACTTAGTGGCTTCGAACTCAGGTCTTACAAGCATACTCTCCTTTGCTGCTAAATTAAACTCTCCCTGGCTCACTCTCCATTTGGTAGAACCATTTCATAAAAGGTCCTATCACTCTTGTGGTTGGCTTGCGCAGAACACAAGGGTGTATCCCTGCCTCTGGCACTCCAGACTGAGTCTCTCCTCTGTGGTCACCCTTGGCCAACACTGTCCCCAGGTTCCTCTACATCTTGGGGCCTCATGCCACTCTGTTTACTGAAGATGCAAGGTATGGGCTCCAAGGTATCTAACCCAGAGAGTTTCCCAGGCCTTTTGATCCTCTGAAAGGCAAAGATTCTTGCTGATTAGCGTTCATTCTTGTCAAAGTTCTTTTCAGAAGGAAGTCGAATATGAATATGCGTTGCTCTTTACTTCACACCATGGGCCAGGCCCACTGCAAACTAAACTTTGGCCATGAAGAAAAACATGCACAAAAGGTCAGCAGTGTTGAAATGCATCTCTCCTATTAGCTCAATCGGGAGCAGAGCAGGAGAGGTTAATTTTTCAACACGGTAACATACCATATATATCAGCACTAACAATGAGGTTTTATTTCCCTGAGTCAGCTTTAAAAATAATGTTGACTTTTATGGTCGATACATTATAGATCACCATATTTATGTCAGAACATATTGGCATGAAAATAAATCAATGAAAATATTAATACAGGAGCCTCGTGTTTAAATGAAACCCCTTGCAACTTCACATCTTCCCCTCGTATTTCACCCTAGTGCTTTCTGAGACATCACTTCTGACATGTTTTACTGAACATGACATCAAGGCCTGTTTTCATTCTCTATGACTACTGTTTTTAATCTGTCTTCATATAATAAGGTTCAAAAATATCCACTTTGTTCTTTTACCATAAACATACATAGCTGCATCCCATCATTAATAGGACTGTCAATTTAAATTTAAGGTTTACATATGAACAAAATATCTCAAAGTTCTGACAGGCATACTATTAACAAATAAAACACTCTGTGTTGGAGACGAGCTTCAAATTTTATATTTGCTACCATAATTGTTTTAGAGTCATAAAAAGCTTCTATTATAAGTATGTATTGTAGAAAGCAAGTTCATAGTTTAGACATTATTAAAGAAAAATGGGGTTTGGTGGAAAAGAAAACCCATTTTCACACGTGTATCTTCTCTTTCTGAATAACGATAAATACCTGGGTGAATCAGAGTCTCGGGAAAAGTTCTTTGCTTCCGGGTGCAGAGTTAGCCATCTGCAACAGTAGTAGAAGCCAAAGGATGCCCAGAGGGAAAGCCAAGTCAGAAGAAGCAAAGAAGAAGCAGAAACTAAAAAGAGAGAAGCAATAGAGAAACAATAGACAAAAGAATGAAAGCATTGGTTGGTAGCAGGAGATAATAAAGTCACTGGGGAAACCCTTAACCCCTCCCTCACTCCCATATTTAATTATTGCCAGGTCATGTTCATTTACCTCCTAAATATCAACTGAATCTGTCCATTTCTCTTATTGCCCCCTCACAACTCAAGTTAAAGCTACCATATTCTTCCTCCTAAACTAGAGCAAATGTCTCCTAACTAATTTGCAATGCCCCTTGCTCTCCAATCTCCAAAAAGCATCTGATCTAATCATGCTTTCCTGTGTTTTTCATGCGCGCGCGCGCACACACACACACACACACACACACACACATTAAATCCATTAATAGGACAAAATCAATTAGATCTAATTGGGAAAATCTTTCACATGCTAATATAGACGATTATCTTTATGATATCAAGATAGATTTTTTTTTATTTTTGAGAGAGAGAACACAAGCAGGGGCTTGATCTTAAGGCTGTGAGATCATGACTTAAGCCAAAATCAAGAGTCAGACACTTAACCAAATGAGCCATCCAGGCACCAAATTAAGATTTTTAAACCAGATACAAAAAGCACAAACTGGGGCACCTGGGTGGCTCAGTCGATTAAGCGTCTGACTACTGGTTTAGGCTCAGGTCATGATCGCATAGTTCATGGGTTTGAGCCCTGCGTTGGGCTCTGTACTGACAGCATGGAGCCTGCTTGGGATTCTCTCTCTCCCTTTCTCTCTGCCCCTCAAAATAAATAAATATCTCTCAAAATAAATAAAATAATTTTTTTTTAAATCACAAACCATAAAAGAAAAATTGATCATTGCAACTATGCTAAAATTTACAACTTCTATTCCTTAAAAAAAATACATATATATACATACATATATATACACAATTATATACAAGTCATTAAGTCAGCAAAACCACAGAGTAGAAAAAAATATGTATAACATAAATAGGTGAAAAGACTTATCCAAAATATGTAAAGAACTCTTAAAAATCAATAACAACAAAAGCAAGACAACTCAATAGAAAAAAATGAGCAAGAAAAAACTGCAGAATGAGTTCACACAAAAGGATGGGGGATGAGACACAGCAGGAGTTCCTCATCTCCCATGCAAAAGCAACACAGAAGTGTGTGTAAAGGAAGAGGTAACACCTCGTAAGGCAAAAGAAAAATGGGGCTTGGTGAGAAAATGCATTCTCTTCAGTGTGTCTCCTCTTTCTGATGTTCTCCTGTGCTCACAGGACATACCCACCAGCATGACCTGGCCAGTGGGAGATAGAAACTGGTGGACGAATGCCTACTTTTTTCTGGCCCGGGGAGGGCCTTTTGGGATGCAGTTGATTCAGGTTTTCAGATGACAGTCTGTAGGGATTGAGTACTCAGTTGCCTTTTGTGGGGGCCAATTCAATAACCCACCTTTGAGTCCCCGTTAGTTCTCCCTCATTCACCAGGTTATTCCCCTTTGTCCCTCACTCCTGCTCCCTAGGACTGTACCCTCTAATAAAATGGTATCACACTAAACCTCGGCTCTGCTTTCTCGGTGACTCAAGCTAAGACAACAGCATTCTTCCACCTCCCCCATGTGCTGAGTGTCCAGAGCCATTGGGGATTGTTTCCACCACTGCCCCCCACCTTAGCAACACCCTAGCAACAGGAAAGGCTTTGGTAATGGACAGCATGTCTGCACGTTACTGCTTTAAGCAGCATTTTAGGCGAAGGCTGTGAAGGGAACTTGCTGCCTGAGGGTAAGAGTGGATGGAAGGAGGTATCATGGGACACAAGCCCTCCACTCTACAGATGCCTTGGGCAACTTTACCACTAGTCAGAGAGCCCCAGGCTCTGTTACTGATCTCTGCTCTTGCCCCAAACCAAACCAGCTTTCTACATTTCTTGACACAAAACACAGGGAAAGATAGATTCGGTCCTGGTGCATTTGAAGATCTTTGTCTGATGCCAAATGAAAGGAAAAGGAAAAGTTTCATAAAGATCCCTTTCAAGGTTGGGGGCCCAAAGGCAACGATGAACTTCCACAACCACAGGACAATATAGCTACAGTTATTTTTACTGCATCATTAATGTTAAAAATTTGGATTTCAAAGTCAGTTTGAGCAATCACACAATGGTGCAGATGGAGTAAAAGGTTATTTTTTTCAACAGTGATTATTTTTCTAGACAAAGTACCATCAGTTTCAGAACAGCCACCTTCTCTGTTGTGATGGTACAATGTCAGAGCAATGTTTCCCCATCACTCCCCATGTTTACACTAATTTAAAGCTGCCAATTATGTCAGATCCTTGTCAACAGAAAACAAAAATGTGCAAGCCGCTATACAAATTAATTATTGAAAT